TAAAGAGAAGAAACCAGTTTTAGGTACTTGGGAAAAAAGGACAGGACAAAGCTTTGAAATTGAGATATCAACTCTCCACGTAATGTCGGGGGAGGAGGGAGGGAATCAAACAATGTTCTATAACTTTTCCTTCTCAGCCAATATGCGGGTTGCTGCCCTTCACCTGGACATTTCAGACAGCAGCAGAGAGAAATTCTGTTCTCTCTTGTAATTATTCTCTATTTTTTAGTAAATGTTTCACACTGCTGTGAAACAAAATTGAAATCAGTGCAGCGGAAAAGTGAGCAGGGAATAAGGTGAATCTGGAGTAGAATGATTGACTTCTCGGCCAGACCACTGTGCTGCTTCAAAGACCAGATGCTTTTCTCTGGGGCTTGTATGATACTGAAAGTGGGCACTGCACAAAAACATAACGTGACAGATTCGTTGATCATCTCTCACCAGCACAAATGGCCTAAATAGCAGGTCCGTGCACGTGGGTCTCCTGCCCTCCCTCTGTTAGTGTAGATGCGGTAGAAAGAGCAATGACAAGGAAATTATTATGAAATAGCGCTGAATGCATACGGGAGTGACTTGCAATACCTACGTGAATCAGTGCCTATTTCAGTTAGTGACCAAGGGCCATTTTATATTCCTCAAAATCACGTCCCTCTTGTAGTTGAAAATCTGATTCAACAAGCTATTACGAGTCAATGAATTCAAACATATTGCTGAATTACAAAGAAAACTTATGCTCTGTCTTCTTTGTGGAAAGTATGCATTTAATAAGCTCTTGAGAAAAAATGCGACCTTCTTAGAGTAGAAAACCAATTCAGTCTCACAATTCGTGTCATCTAAAAAGAGAAGCATCCTGGGAAAAATCAACTAAAACATGTCTCTACACACCTCGGAGGAACTCCCAGGGAAGAAACTCTCCATGTGCGCTCTCTCTACTCACACTTAAAAAATTTTAAAAAAAAAGTATTTTTATGCTTTCAGCTCTGTTTATTTTTAAGAATGCTGTTCAATTAACTACGTTAACAAGACAGTCTTGGCAATATGAAGGCTCTAGAAAAGACTTAAGCAAGAGAGTCTTTCAGACTGGGCAGCTGGGAGGCAGGGAGCTGTGTTGGGCATGGCTGGGAGGCAGGGAGTTGTCTCAGGCACAGCCGGGAGGCTGGTGGAAGGGCACCTTTCTAGAACATGAGAGAAGATGACCTCAAGAGCACCCACAGAAGGCTGCCAGCCAGGACCCTTCCTGGGGAGATGGTCCAGGAGCTCTCCCACCTGCCCTAGGGTGACTGTGACTTAGCAGTCGTAAAGAGCTTTTTGTGTGGCTTCTGTTTGGGGCTGTTTAATGAATTATCAGGGACACAAGGCGTGCTACGGGGAATGGGCATGCACAATTCACACGTGTCCAGTTACGTAAGGAGTGACGTGGAGGCTGAGACATGTGACCTTATGCCACCAGCACATATCAGTGACAACAGAGCCCCCTTCCCAGCTGTGGCTGTGTTGGATATGGCCAGGAGATAGGGTTCTGTGTCAGAGCTGGTGACCCAGCAGAAAATGCTTGAAAAGGCCCATTTATAAGCTGTGCACCCTGTGTCTGAGCTGGGAGGGAGTATCATATAAAACATGGCTTCCTTTTCCCCTGAATATATTTTGATCAAGGAAGGCTACCGGAGGCCCCTCTGCCATGTCCATTTAGGGAATTCCTAGAAGCTAGAAAACACAAAGGGAAACTGTTTGCTGGCTGCCTAAAAGAAAATGTGCAAAGCCAAACACGTTCACTGTTAAAAGCGAGAACTGTGTTCCTCTTGCCTCTTCAAGGAAGCTTGCTTACGTGGAGGAAAATGAGACTGGGGTTCAGCCCGGGAGCCCGGGAGTCCCGGGAGACACTCGAACATTCAGGGGAGAGTCGTGAGGTTCCTCTCCAGGAGACCTTCTCACCGAAGCTTCTGCTTCTATGTGCTGTTTGCCTACAGCAGCTGAGGGACTGGTGCTGATAAGAACCCGGGGTGGCCTGAGCCACAGCTGGGAAGGGGGCTCTGTTGTCACTCGGTTGGTGGCATAAGGTCACATGTCTCAGCCTCCACGTCACTCCTTACGTAACTGGACACGTGTGAATTGTGCATGCCCATTCCCCGTAGCATGCCTTGTGTCCCTGATAATTCATTAAACAGCCCCAAACAGAAGCCACACAAAGCTCTTTACGACTGCTAAGTCACAGTCACCCTAGGGCAGGCGGGAGAGCTCCTGTCCTGGCTGGCAGCCTTCTGTGGGTGCTCTTGAGGTCGTCTTCTCTCATGGTCTAGAAAGGTGGCCTTCCACCACTATGGACAACCAGCACAGCTTCATTAGGGTACTTTACACAAAGCCCCTGTACCTTTGTGTCTTCTCAGACTCAGAAAGACGGTACTGTCCTCCCTGTTTAAGATGCCGCATGATTAAGCAGCACAGCATGCAGGGGCCGGGAGGAAAACACTAGAGACCTTGGTCTTTGCACATCTGAAGTCACACAGGCCGATTCGCACCTGGACACTGCTACACATATTTGTCATTGAAGTCTCTGGCAGTTCTTTATAATGAAATTGTCTGTCTGTGCACAAGGGTTAGATTTCCTATAATCGTGGAAATCATCTATTCCCTGTGCAATTTTAGTCTTTAATAATTTATGAAAGTATGAAGCTGTAAGTGGTGTGTAAAAACACTCTTCAGAACATTTCTCTGGGATAGAGTTCAAATAATCTCTAGGCTTCATTGTAACTACTATCTTTCAAGAAGTAATATTCAATCTAATTTTTTATATGTATTAAAAACTTTTCCCATTGGTGTGAAATAATTTATAAATTGCATTATGGTCTCAGTTCTTTATCTCCAAAGAATTTAGTTTAGATAAAAAAAGACATTAATTTTTGCATGAACTCAGTGGTAGGGACAATGCGAGAAAGAGAAGTTATTAGAACTGCATGGAATAGGGAAGCTTTCGGGGTCACTGTATATTCTTAAGTACAAGATAAATAGGTCCCTCCTGTTTATGACTTTTCCTTCTATTTTTCCACGTCTTATACATTATAATGATAAAGCATTGCTTTAAATAAAGAAACATAATTTTATACCTACTTTGTGAGGATGACATTTTAAGATGGAATCGGCCTCAGGCCAATTCATGAAATATTATATATGATTATCTGATAGATTTTCATCAAAAATCCCAGGAAACAAGCTCCTTATAAAAGCAGAAAATGCCTGAAATTTGAATATTTCCAAGGGGAAAAAGGTCCTTAAACCAGGTGGTCTAGTTTCTTTGCGTGGCACACCAATTTTGGTTTGTGTTCCTGCTTTTGCAAAGCAACACAGAATTTGAATAAAATCAGAAGGGGAAAGTGGCAGTGATACTGCGTCTGGAAGTCTGTCCTCTCTAAATTCAATGTTGAAATGGGATCCCAAAGCTGGGGGTGGGGCCTGGTGGGAGGTGTCTGGGGCCTGGCAGCAGATCCTCACGCAAGGTCTGGTAATGAGTTCAGGCTCAGTAAAAAAGGTCTCCTGAGAATTGATGGTTAAAAGGAGCCTGGCAGCTGCCCTCCCCCTGTTGCTCCTCCTGCTCTCGGTGGCCTTCCCTGAAGCCCTCCAGGAGCAGGTGCCAGCAAAACCCTTCCTGTGCAGCCTGCAGAGCTCTGAGTCGAAAGGAACTCCTTTTTCCATAAATTACCTGCCTCAGGTATTCCCTTCACAGCAACACGGGCCCACTAAGCCAGGTCGGCTACTCAAGCATGCCACCCTCTAACAAAGCCCATTTTCAGACATTCTGGGTCATTGTTTTAAATTTTAACAAAACTTAACTAATGTAATGGCTTTTAATTTGATAAGATCAGCAATCAATCAATTGCTACTGAAATAGGACCAGGGAGCTCTTTACTGACTTGGGGAAGGCCTTTCTCACCCTCTTCCATTACTCGGTCAGCTCACTGCTGAGAACTGGACGGCTTCACTGTGAACTACTCTGAGGGCATGCACCCAGCAGACTGTGACTATTAGAAATGATGTATAAATTACACAGCATTGTTACTCTCCATAACTTTTTCAGAAACAGCATTGTCAAAAGTGTTTTCTGGAGAAGTCTTTATTAAAGGAAGGACACCCTTGCAAAGAGATAATTCTCTTCCAATTCTGAGAAAATATTTAAGAGTGGCCAGTAATCTCTCTACCCTCCAGCAAAATTGAGACCTAGAAAAACTAAGTATTGCTTCTTACTTTGGAACAGTTTCTCTCTGAAGATGATAAGCTCTTTCAGACCTCAATCAGTACAGCCATTACAAATTCCAGCCAAAGACTTGTTCTGTGCTTCTGAAAGGGATGAATGATGTATACCATATACCTTTTTAATTTCTTGTAATACATATGTTTTTAAAAAGGTGAAATGTATTAGGAAAAAACTATTCACTTTTCAGAATCTTGGAACAGTCTCAAATATTTTAAATAAGCCCTAAATTCAAAAAAATATATAAAGATGTAAAAGGGCTAAGAGATAATTGAAAAATATACAAACAAAATAGATACTCAGGATAATAGACACACAAGTGATTTAATATTTTGTTTGGCTTTGTTAAATTGGCTTTTAAGTTAGTTTTTATAACAAGATATGGAGTTATAGAATGCATTTTAACCAGTCACTAAAAGATAAACTATTTTATAATGCCTCCTTTAATTAGATGAAATATTATATTTGAAGTTATTTTGCAAGCTATGAAGAGCGAGTGAGTGGTAACATGACCAATATTGGTTTCCTTACAGTGTAGGATAAATGAGAGATTATTGAGTCCTTCTGGTAGAAATGTCAAATTCAGGTGTCAAAAGAATTGGAATGTTTTTATTAATAATTTTATTATAAATATATGAATACTCTCAATTTGTTCCATATGAGGAAGTGCAACCCTAGCCCTCTCAGTGCTTTGTCTGTAAATGACAGCGTGTGCAGTGCTGGGCAAGAGCACTGGAACTCGGGGAGCAGCAGTTACCTTGATACACGAAGTGGAAGCCCCGGGCAGAGGCCCCACTCTTTGCACTGAATCGGAGCAGAATTTGATTCGACGTAGCCAAAGGTAAGGTTTCACCTGTAAGTAAAAACAGAGATAATGCATGAGATCCGTGAACTACACAGCCTTGAGGTGGACAACAGTATTCTGGAAAACAATAATTAACTTGAAATTTTATATTCAAGTTTTGAGCCTTAAAGATATTTTGGGCTTGAGATCCAAATGTATCACTTTTATAAAGACTTTTAAACTGTTTTTTGCTTGTACATTCTGTTAAAATACAGTGTACTCAGCATTTCACTTTTGCTTGATTTTGAAGGAAGCATCAAAATGGACTTACTGACTGGTAATGTAGGAGACAGGTACTGAGTAAAACATTTACTCAGGACGAGTCACTTTTATTTGATAATTACCTGTTAGGATTTTACTTAAAATTAAGTAAACGTCTCAGAATATAAAGCTGAGTAAAGCAAAAAAAAAAACCTTAACTGATTGATAAAAAATCTGAAGTATATTTCTAGCCCTTTAAAGTACACACAAGGTGAGGAAGAGTGTTTCAGGCACTGTTGAGAGGTCCACGAATTGGCTTAAGCTTCTAGGGGAGAATTTGTTACTATGTGATGGCACATGGAATATGCCTCCTCTGGTGCATTCTCAGACATGACATCACCCAACAGTGCTAGAACACAACAAACTTGGATCTTAAGACTTTCGGTTAACAACAAAATAGTGAACAATTGTAAATAACCAAATCTTAACCTTACCTGGCTGACGGCTGTGATGCAAATACCTTACTTGGTAAAAATAACTCGGAAGATTCACTTAGTACATGAGGAAAATGCAGCAATAGTACAAATAAGGGTTGGGTCACCTATTTAATGGCCATTAAATAAGCTGTGCCACATACTTAACAATTCAGAACTCAAAGGAATCACACTTGATGTACAGTGCACCCCAAAGGTCACCATACATCGGGGAAACGGGAAATTCTAGCTAAAGAATTTATTTACAAAATTTATTTATCTTCATTTACAAAAAATTTATCTTTATTTACAAAATATTCACTATAAAATTATACAAGGAGGTGGCCGAAAGGTACGTAATATTTTGCAAATATTTTGCAAAATTGTGTAACAGATATTTTGTAAATAAAAGTAATTTTAGCTAAAATTTCCCATTTCCCCTACGTATGATGAATTTATGGGCGACTCTTGGGATACCCTCTCTTTATGTTTTTGATAGAGAAAGATGTCTGTGTCATTCTAAGTGAAAGAATGGGACAAAAAATAAGTTGGAAATCCTACCCCACATTTCATGAGGTCTCATATGTGTTCCCAGGCATGCCAGGGCGCAGCAATGCCTGGTGTCTGTGCGTGTGGGCACTTAGGCATGTGCGGATGGAACAAATCTCTACATGTTTGCATCTATAGGTTTGGAATAATTTAGACTAAAATGCTAATAGCTTTTATCTCCTGTTGGAATAGAAAATAAACATGTAAGATAATTTTTTATCTCTTTGGATATTTGCCGCTTTTACTGAGGCAAGTACTATATTTTCCACAATTTTAGCAAGTAAATGATAAAGGCAGATGGTTTTATATACGAGATAAATAATACTTTTGAAATCTGGCACGTAAAGTGAGATTATCTCAAACACACATTAAAATTCAAAGATGATTAAATTTCTCATAAAAACAAAGAAAAAGGCAAGTCTAAAATTAATCACCCTAGCTATCTAAATGGAATTAACTGCCAAAATCTTGAATGTTTACCTGAATGAGACCCCGAGAGCGAGCTGAGAAGTCTGGCCTGCACGTGTGTTCCGTCGAATAACTCTGCCAGGTCGTTCAGTGCCGTCTGGAAATAGGCGAACTGTCCAAACACCACTGTCAAATAAAAGGGGTGGGTTGGACAATATACTTTAAAAAATGTAGTGAGGATTGGGTTGTACTATCCTACATTTACTGATTGGCTCAAAGGTTGATTCTCCTAAGAATCTTGTAAAAAATTAATTATTAACTTATTTTCTTTGCTTTTTCAGCTATCAGTTGATTAAATGCTTTCATTTTGCTTCTTGGTTATGCTGAGGACTGTTTTGTTTCTTTAATAAATAGCACATTGAGACAGTGTTAGAAGAGTATCTGTAAAGCTAGTCATTGATCTTTGAGCAATCAGTGACATTTTATTCAATGAAAAAAAGAAGGATAGAGTTCAAGCCCTGTGGTGATTTGATGAGATATTTAAGATTCTTTACAAAAGGTTTTTATAACACCAAATCATACTAACACACAGCCAAATTGATATTAATTCATTTAAACACATGACTTAGCAATATATCACAGGAAGGGCTCATTATTCCACTCTATAATTTTACTTATCTTACAGGTTATGTAAGTTGTGTGACCCCACCTTCTTCAGATACAATACAACTACATATTTTATGACACTGGATGTAACTGATGCTTGTGCTCCTGAATTGACAACACAGAGGGGCTTTGTAATATTTAGAAAAACCTGTGATTTAGTATTTATTTATAAGCAATGAGCAATGAACTCTTTCTTATTTATGTGTAAGGTTAGCACTGAAATCATTTTGAATCATTAGCAGGAAGAAAGGGCAGGGTGTGTATTAGTTGCTCATGTCTGAATTCTAAGGGAAGGAATCACTGTCTGTTAGTACGGTGGCGGCAATCCACCTCCAACAGCAGTGTGTCTGTGTGCGTGCATGTGAACACGCATAGGTACTTACGTAACAAAATCTATACAGGTGTATAATGGAGCAGGTGTTTTCAGAATTTATGACTTCCTAGAGAGACAAATGCGAAGGAGATATGGGGGCAAGGTGGATTTTTTTTAGAGAAGAAGTGCTCTAAGAAGCCGGTTTCTTGGGGATGAGAGAGGAATAGGAAGTTGTGATTTCTCTACAGCTTTCACTTATACAAACCTCTACCCCATCACCTCCAAGAATTAATTAATTTTTTAGCATGTTTGAAGCTGAATGCTTGGATCTTTCTTCTAATTAGTGAATTATACATACATAGCTCCTACTTTTCTTGAAATGGTTAGTGAGCATCAACTCTATGCTAGAAACTACAAATAAAGGAATGGAAAGACATGAACATGGTCCCAGGACCTTAGCAGCTGGGAACACCCAGCTCCTTCTGGAGAGGGGTCAGAGCCTTCCCAACCTCGGGTCACTGAACTGGGCTCCAACCTGTGACTGATACTCTCAACCCAAAGGACCAAACTCATTTGGTAAAAGACATCAACTGCCCAGTGCTGTCTGTGCCGCAGCTGGAAACAGTGCAGGTGTGATGTTCTGGGGATGTCGGCCTTTGGGATAGCTAGTGTTTCAGGGGGATGAGGGACATATTGCTAATCCCCCCAGAATTCAATGAACAGAAAAAAAGAAAATTATTTCAGTAAGTGAACTGACTATGAAGAGCAAGAGTTCTGGAGGTGACAACTGGGGCAGGTGGTCTGGAGGTGACAACTGGGGCAGGTGGTCTGCTTTGGTTAACAGGGGATAAAAAGAAGGGGGGATTTGGTGGCAAAGACTCATAGCAAAGGGTGGGAGTGAAGGCAAGACTGGACTTCTGAACACCTTAGTATCACTTCCCACTGGGGGATGGTGTTGACAGGACAGGTGGTGCCCTCCCTACCTGGCTGTGGTTACATCAGCCACTGTGTTTGGGTAGTTCATCTGCCTCACACCCCACACCATGAGCATATCAGGGTCACAGACTATATTTTATTCACAATTTTTGAATTAATTATTTAATTAGTCAGTAAATGTCCCAGAAGACAGTAGGGAAGGGGGGAGAACGTAAAAATGGCAGAATGAATTTTCATCAAGTTTTCAGTGTAACCACATTATTCCAAACTAGCGGACTCTGCTCAGAGAGAGTAGGAGAATCTGCATTGTTACACATCTCACCCTGGGAATTTACAATCCGTGTTTAGGGTAGGAACATGACCTTTTGTTCTGCTGAAGATGCTTAATTGTGTTATGATAACAATAAAATTTTGTACTCAGTCAAAATCATGGAATAGTGCTGCTACATCCCACTGAGATAGGTACATTTTGTTGTATCTACAGAAAGGAAAAGTAAAAGGAATTTTATGATAAAGTAAATGGAGCATGTTCTCGGCATTTAAGTGAAAAGATATATTGGTTCAGATACACAATTAAGGCTGAGGTTAAATAAGAAACATCAGTAGAGAGAATCTGAGCCAGCTTGAAGCTTTGTATCTAGACACAGTTCTAAGTATTGTTGTCCACGTATCACAACAAAGAAAATATACATATGCAGGGGAGGTTTTCATGGGATTTTAAGAGGCTTATGAATAATAAGAGACATTTACAGAAATAATGTGTCTCCCAAATACTAGCTTCTTACCCAGAAAATAACTTTCTTGTCAAGAATTGAAATGCATTCCCACATTTTAATTTTTATCTCCTTTTTATTCTGACTAGGTGATTGCCATTATAATGAAAAGAAAAATCTCAACTATGCAGGGTTTTTAATATTACTATTGGACAGAAGGAAATAGTCCACAAGATGGCAAATGCTACTCTCTGGCTTACTCCAAGACAGAATCCAATACAGGACAAATTTTCCTGGTTGAGAGTAGGTGTGGGCATTGAGGAGGCCATGTACAGAACCACCCAAGGAGGCCGCTCTAGAGACTAAGTCACTCCGGAAAACTTGTTCAGATTTGGAGCAAAACTCAGAAAGTTGAGTTTCCCCAAGTGAAATAGGATTCTGCCTGTTTCCTACATCTCTGAGCACACAAAAGTTGGCTCAGGGATCCAGTGATTCCCATCGTGACCAGATTTGCAACTTTTCATGTTGGCAGGTGCACAGAGATGCACCACGCTCTCCCAGCCCACGCGTCACTTCTCAATACTCCTTACACATAAAAGCCACCAACTGAGAGGATGAGTTTGGAGAAAAATAAGAACAAGGCCAAATTAATTCTCTGCTTATTCTGGATCAGAAACCTGGAAGGGAATTTAAACATGTCGTATCACAATGGTAAAAATAATATTATAATGAACATAGCGTAGGCAGAACATTTTTAGAGAGCTTGCTACTTAAATGCAACTTGTCTTCTTTAATATTATTTATTCTCCTAAGAGCTAGAATACTGGCTCACAAAATGGCAGGAAAATTTAATAGTGAAAAGAAATGTGGGAATAAATCAATAAGAAATTCTTACCAAACTCCTTTGGCACGGTTATGGAGTAGAGACACACTTGACCAGCTGTGTAATTATGAGGGTAGTTTGGTGATAAAACTACCCCTTCCGACCCCGTGTACTGACCTCCACAGGGCGCTGAAAATAAAACCAATCAAGAATTACATTGTGTGCGTAACAGCACTGCGAATGACAGGTGAGCTAAAGCCAACTATCACCAAGTAAGTGAGCAGCACGCCACGTTTATTTAAAAACTTAACAAAATATTAACGTTAAAATCTCCTCTCACATTGCTATCAAAGTGATGGAAAAATAAAATAAAAAATTTACGAGGTTCGAATTAAAGTGATTCAACTTACCTACCTAATACTATTTTTAAGATCTGTCTTAGTCATGTTAAAATAATAAAGAAAATAGCTATAATAATAATGTCTCTAATACAGTAACAATAAAACAGATTCAATATAGATATGATTAAATTACTTTAAAAAGTCTCCCCAGTGTGGTTGATATCAATTGCCCCGTTAACTTAAGAGATACAAAGATTATTTCAGTTTTCTATTGTTTTTATATTTATGTGAGACTGAAAGGAACATGATTTGTTTTTTAGAGTTTTTTGGTTTTAACTTTTCTTCTCACTGGTTCAGATACAGATCAACATATATAATATCTAATGCTTCTCAGGTATTTTCCTGAGTTCGATTTGAAGCTAAAAGAGGCCATTTCTAGAAAGCCAGGGCAGATAAAATAAGCAAGCTCAGCATGTGTGTGTGTTGATTTTCTTATCTACTTTGGTGTTGCTTTGGCTGAAGAAAAAGTGCCATAGCACAGATGTCCAAAACATTTTATTCTTATATTAAAACAGACATCCAATTAAACCCGGTCACTTAATATCTAGTCTTTAAATTAAATCATCAATACTTCAATTCCTCCTATTTTTACATAAGGACGGTTCCAGGCCACCCATCTATTTAGCTGTAGAGCTGTGACCAGATATAAGTCACTTAACTTTCATGCTGTCTGTCACCACACTGGCTATGGCCTGACTACACTCATTATCTTAGATCAGCGGTTCTCAACCTGTGGGTTGTGACCTCTTTTTAAAAATGAAAATACATTGTGGCATTAGGAAGGCTGATAACCACTGTCTTAGATGAACCTTTGCTCATTTCCAGAAACTTTGTATTTCTATAGATCATTTCTTCTTTTCTTTATATAGTACTTCAAGTTGCTGTTTTCTTTTTCTTTTCTTTCTTTTTTTTTTTTTTTGCAGTTTTTGGCTGGGGCTGGATTTGAACCTGCCACCTCTGGCATATGGGGCTGGCGCCCTACTTTTTTTTTTTTTGGCAGTCATTTCTTCTTGAGCTAGCAATTCAGAAGCATCATGAAAAAACCCCAGAAATTAGAATAACATCTTTAATCTTTGAATGCTAATTAGTATACTGTTAAATCCTAATTGATGGACAGAACATTCTCCAAGATTAATAAAACTTCTAAGCGTGTGGTAATGCTAAGGTTAAGGCATTTTGCTAATGATTTATCAAGAGATTTCCCACATACATGCATTACAATGGCTCGAAAAAGTTAAGTCAAATTGCAGAAATCAATGGAAAACCGCTCGCACATCTGACGGCTTTAATCTGTTTATGATCAGCTAGTAGAGACTTCACTTAATTAGACTAAGCTGAGCCGTCATGCTAATGTCTTAATTCAGAATCATGCTATCATTCTAAGGACATTTGCATATACTTTAAAAAAATTTTAAATAGCAAAAAATTTATTTTATTTTCTCTTCTAGAAGAAGGATATTTCTGTAGCTCAGCCCCAGTCTCTGGCAGCTTTCCACCAGATTGCTGGGAGCCTTCCTCCAGCAAGGCAGGTGTATCTCTCAATTTCTATTTCCTCTCATCTCCCACATAAATCCAACCAGTTTATTTCAGAATAAACCATTATCTGAAATATTATCTATGTAACTATATATCTATATATTATCTATATAACTATTATCTTTTCATTTTCCTCAAAATTTTAAGATTAAGTTAAAAAGTCTGTACAATTAAAGAATGGAAATTTATTTTATTTTAGTCAGTATAAAATTCAAGCAATTCACTTTATAAATACTTTCTTTCCACACACACACACACATGAAATCAATTTCAAATTTTAAGCAATAGTTACAAATGAAAAGTGGAAATAAATTATCACCAGCATAAAATTGTGATTTCCAGATCCTTAGAGATGGTAAACATTCTCTCCAGGGACATCTTCGGACGTATTTTTTGAACGATAGCTACAAAGACTTATATAGTCCAAGGACAGAATAAGAGTATCACCAAGTATTGACTTATGACACCAGAGAATTTTTCTTTTTTGAGACAGAGTCTCACTATGGCATCACAGCTCACAGCAACCTCAAACTCTTGGGCTCAAGAGATCCTCCTGCCTCCTATGTAGCTGGGACTGTAAGTGCCCACCACAATGCCCGGCTAGTTTTTCTATTTTTAGTAGAGAAGATGTCTTACTCTTGCTCAGGCTGGCCTTGAACTCCTGAGCTCAAGTGATCCTCCTGCCTTGGTCTCCCAGAGCACTAGGATTAGAAGCCTGAGCCATTGAGCCTGGCCAAGAAGATACATTTTTTAAGTCAAAAGACAAAATGAGAGAAATATGGTCTGGCACTTTGGTTCTGAACTACCTTGAGAAACAGTGCTTACTCCTCTCTATTATTCCTCAGCCTTAAAGGTAAGCACCAAAACTACACAATATGTTTCAGACCTGACCAAACATCTGTGAAGCTGAGAAAAATGTACAGAGAATATTTATTTAATATTTAATAATTATTATGCTTGTTTTACTGTGCTAATATGAGAAACAGGTGATGTCCTCATATTAGAAATTATTTTATAGTAATGCTATAACAGAAAAAATAGGTGCTTACTCTCTGGTAATTGTGGGGTTAGATCATTTCCTAAATGAATAAAGACATGGAGCAGCATTCCCTGCAGATGGTGACAACAGCCCTGCTCATCCATTGGGGTTAATTTACACGCACACCCCCTTCATACGGAACAGTACACAATCACACTGGATAAACACACACAACAAAACAAAAAAACCCTGTCAAACAGAAGCTATTCTGACACTTGTGAGGAACTCCACGCTGTTCCAATTTCAGTTCTAAATATATAGCAAACCACATTGCCCACAAATTATAGGCTATAAATGAATAACCAGGAAAAAAATTATAGCATGCATGTAAAGCAAACTGGTCCAAAATGCACTGTCTGCATCCTATGATATAGACACTCTCAAAATGTTTAGAAAAGAGCAGAAGCGCCCAAGTTCTACCAGTGACCTGAATCAATCACAGGGATTGATACACACAACACATGGTGCTCCCACGGGAGGTCCAAGTACACAGAGGCCGTGATCTCTGCTCTGAAGATTACAGCATCACATGTGTTTACATGTGAACAGAACGGCACACTGATTCTTCACACATCTTCCAATATGGAAGAAGAAACACTCTGTGATTTAAATTTTTACAATAAATACATTGTCCAGTGTGACAACCATCAGCAAGTTACAGTTGGTTTTTCATTAAAAATTACTGATTTAGGGGTGGCACCTGCTGCTCAAAGGAGTAGGGCGCCAGCCCCATATGCTGGAGGTGGCAGGTTCAAACCCAGCCCCAGCCAAAACTGCAAAACAAACAAACAAAAAAAACCCTGATTTATTCATTGACACTAGACACATATATTAAGTTCTTACTGTGTACCAACAACTAGTGCTGGGTCCAGAGAGACACAGTTCCCCCTACTTGAAAGCTCTCAGGGTCATAAAAAGGATGGACGTGGAAACACTGAAATAGCAGAGCGTGCCGGGAGATTGTTTGTGTTTATCATTTCATTTTTGTTTATGTGTTTGCTTTTGTTTGTACATGTACTGATGTTTTAAAACACCTATTTGGTCAAAGGTGTCAGTCAGTACTGTTGTCAGGCTGTCTGAGGAAAACGTGTGTTTTCTAAGTTCAATTTATCAAGTAGAATTGGGTCTTTGAATTTATCCTAAAACTATCCTTCAGATCAATTTCTCTTCAACAAACCAGGAGTTTCTAACTTTCTTTCTTTCTTCTTCTTGATAAAATACACATCACACAAAGAGTAAAGGGTGTAAGTCACACGCGTCACCGCCTGTGGAGATGCCCCTGCGACCACCACCTGGATTCCAACCCAGAGCGAGGCACAGCTGAAGTCTGCCCCCTGCCTCCCCTTGGTTCACACCCAGCGGGCAGCTGCTGTCTGACTGTCACTGTAGGTTCGTGTAGCCTGTTCTTAAAGGTCCACCTGACTTGTCATAAGATGCGATTTTACTAATTTAATCTCTAAGTAAGAAATTAAAAACTATTAACGTTTTTTGGGAAAATGACAAATCCATTATATACAGTAGAACCTCCATAGTTGACCCTCCCTGCATTGACCACCCCTGTGAGTTCTACTGCACTTAATGTTTTTCTCTGTATTTTCATATACATTTTACATACATGATTACATATAGAGAGAGAGAAAGAGAGAGAAGTAATGGTAGAATGCTAATTATGATTCTTTATGTAATAGATCAGGTCTAGAATACATCGAAAACAAGTTTAAAATGTCAGACAGTCTGAGTGAAGGACAAACATTGTCATCCAGAAACCCATGAGAATGGCTAATACACTGCTAAATTAAACAATTGAGGAATGTCAAATTCCGCACACTCTTGGCAACTGACCCCCAGATTAGAGGAACGCAGGACTGAGAAATGCAACTGTGCTTCAGACGAGATTTTGCATTAAAAGGCAGGTGCTGCCTCAGAGAGCCCGAGTCCCTCCACACCTACCGTGGCAGGAGGGCAGCGCGCGGTTCCAGGACGGTTTCCCGTCGGCTCCAATCACACACATGATGGACGAGGGGTCCACAACCTTGTAGCCAGAGTCACACTGGTACGTGACGGTCGAGCCGAGTTTGAAGTCTGTTCCAATTCTTGTGCCATTCATTATATTTCCAGGGTCAAAACAAGCTTCCCGGGGCTTCTCTGAGGAGAGAGGAGGGTGGAGCCATGAGAGCAGCGTCTTTTCTGCGTGTTTACTTTGTCTTTTGCTGGTTTTATTTAGGGCCTAGGACAGTGCTTAGCATGTGAGAAATGCTCAAAAAATACTCATTCCTTGGCTGATGACTGAGTTAGCCTATTGAATAAAAATAAAAAGTATTCCTCTTCAATAAAATATTTATTTTAAAATCACATTTTACTATAGAATTGACATTGAATTGCCTTCATCAAGGTAAAAAAAATATATAGTCCTCCATTTTTACACACTTATCCATTTTCTAACTTTTAAACTTAAATCATATTAATGTGGAATCACACCACACCTGTAAGAAAAGACAGGGTAATCTGGCTTCTCAAGAAGAAAATGATTTCACTCATGACCTTTGAGACGCCTTTCTTATACGGATAATTGTAGATAAAACATGACCAGGGAAAGATGCTGTGACTCACAATTGTCCTGGTGTTGTCAGTCCCCGTAGGAGTGAATCGCAAACTTAGCAGGGAAGCAGGTTTACTAATTGACAAGAAGCAAACATCGCCTCCCACCTGTAATGCTGAGTTACCCGACAGTTCCATCTTAAGTGTAATAATTGCAGAAGTTGGCTGAGGGCTTACTCTGTCCTAAGCACTGAGCTGGGCACCCTGTGTGCTTAACTCCAGTCTTCACTATACCTCTCTGACGTAAGAGTTATGAAAGTTGGTGGCACAGGAATGGTAGAGAACTCCCACAGATACGCACTATAGGGACCGGTCCCAGTCTCAGGACGTTAAAGAAGGCATTGCCTTAGCACTGTACTGAGTATCTATTCTCCCCAAGCACAAAAATTCCTTTCTTCTCAGAGTTTCGTTATTCTGTAATCAGTTTCAATTGTCTTCTGGCAGCCTTAATATTTTTAATTATCTATTTCAGCAAACCAACCAAAATATCTCTAAGCGAAAAAGTATGCAACCCTGTATTATCTATTAGGAGTAGATAATATATACTATAAGACCAAAACAAAAACAAAACCAAAAACAAACCCCACCACACTTTGGGAAGCCTTGTAGGCAGACAAAGAGGGCTATTCAACTGTGCTTATTCAATGTTTTCAATTATATTTTAATGCTCTATGAATTAACATCAACAAAAAGAGATCTCTTTGGCAATCTATTATGGTAATCTACTATGTTTATATATTATACACAAAGTCTATTACAATAATCCATATATCTAATAAATGTATTTCATTGATGTGTACGTTTCTGGGTTGTATATTCATATATACGTATATATGTATACATATAAAATAACTGTGGAAACCTACTCCAGGGGCCTCTGTTTTTTCTCTTGTTACAGTCCATCTTCAGGCATCACTTATGCCTTGGGACCATTACTCTCTAATTGTTTTTATTGAAAACCTATTTGGATATTTCAAATAGTAGCTGACTTTTTTTATTTTATTTTTTTGAGACAAATTCTTACTTTCTGCCCTGGGTAGAGTTCCGTGGCATCATAGCTCACAGCAACCTCAAACTCTTGGGCTCAGGTGAGAGCCTTGCCTCATCCTTCTGAGTAGCTGGAACTATAGGTGCTCGACTCAACTCAATGCCCCTCTAGTTTTTCCATTTCTAGTAGAGGTCTGGTTCTTGCTTGTGCTCAGGCTAGTCTTGAACTTCTGAACTCAAGCAATCCATCTTGGCCTCCCAGAATGCTAGGATTGCAGGTGTGAGCCACCACATCCGTTCGATAACTGACATTTTAATAATTTTTGTGGCTGCTTTAAATCCCATATAGAATACAGAACACTATTTTAAGTAAATACAAAACAAATAAACTGTAGGCACTATAAAAGTTGTTCATTTTGCTGTTGTTCATTCAGTTATTCAACAAAACGTGCTGAGCCTCTAGGGAACACGGGCACTCATCTCCTACAAAAAATTTAAAATTTCCCAGTATATGTCCATCAGTATATGTTTGCTGTCTTTTCATCCTTTAAGATCTTTTTTGGGGGAGGGGGTCATGGTGTACAGTGTAAGGCACACCTCTTGGGGGCACGACACAATTATAAGAGGGACTTTATCTAGCAAATGCCATCGGTGTAACCTAATTCTTTGTACCCTCTATGAATCCCAAACAATTAAAAAAAAGATTTTTTTTTTTGTTATTCTCTTTTAGTTTAGTGTCCTATTTGGTTAAGTGTCATTTACATAACTTTCTCTTTTAGGCCCCTAATTTTGATTTCTGATGGCAGGATTTTCTTTAAATAACTGCATCTCACCTTTTGGTTCTATTTACCTAGTTGTCAGTTCAGATTGTTGGGAGATAAATCACTGACGCTGTTTTGCTTTACAGTTTGCCAGGCTTTCTAATCAGACGACTGTACGACAGTGTGTTATGCTGCTGTCTTGTCTGCTCCACTTAGGGAAGTCCTCCACATCCCTGCAATGGAGCCCGGTAGACGGACTCCGGCTGCCAAGTCCCTGGGAGGGCTGGGCAGTGCTACTGCCCTGTTGCTCCTTCTGTTTCATGTACTGTTGGAAAACTGGTTCTGCCCCCACTTCCTGACTGCACAAGTGCTTGCTCTGGGCTGAATGCAATGGCATCTCTGCTGTCGTCTTTCCTGTGATTCTTCCCCCTCCCCCCCAAGCTCTACTGGAGAACATTTCAGACGTTAAGAGTTATAGCCTCCATTTAGATGGCTGGATATATCTTTACTAAAGAACCCAGACCACAGGAGGAGTTTTCTTCATGTTACTCATTTTTTTTTTTTTTATTGAATGGTAACTATGTACATTAATGCACTTCTGGGGTACAGTGTGGGGCTTTCACATGCAATTCGAAATATTTCCATCAAACTCTTCATGTTTCTCACGAGGCATATCATACTTCATTTATCACTGACCCACTGATGCATTGACTTTAGAGTCAGGGAGAGGACCAGACATTAGAAAGGACGGTGATCCATAAAGATGGAGATTTGTTACATTGGTTTATTTTATTTGCTTGGCTTTGTCTTATTTTGGGCTCTCATAGACTATAGTATATGGACATTGTCCTGGTGAAGTGCATTTTGGTGGAATCTTGTTAACATAGAAACTATCTGATCATATGGCAAAGTCTTATAAGTACCTATTTCAATTATTCATGATGAGGGCAGGTCCTATGGGAAAGGCATGACATAATCCTCTGCTGAGCTGTACAATTTCTTTTCTTGTGCATTTTAAGAAAAATCCATGCATTAGTATCTTTTGATGTTTTGGAGAAAACAGATCAATTTTATGCTTAAAACCATATAAATAAACAGGTTTGTTAATGAGATAAAATAGATTCTATACTTAATCTTTAAAATTTTATTTACAAGTTTAACTCAAATTTTAAATAAATATAAATACTTTCATTTCTTATCTAAAACAGAAAAAAATCCCTTATTACTGTGAGAACTTTTGTTAAGTTATCTTCTCCAATTCTTGGTAATATGATGTATTTTTTGTGTTATTGTTGTTGTACCCATGAGAAATAGATTTGAAAAAGATACATGTATTTTCATGAACCCAACAGTCAAATGCTTGGTTTCTGTGGGGAGTTCGTTTTACAAGTTTTCTGCCACCTGCCTACTGTCCAGCTCTTAGGCATTTTGGCCAGAAAATAAGTTGGTGGATTTACTTATACTTATCCTAAAATTTTAAAAAAGAAACATGAATATGAACTCACCTGATGATTTTATTATCTATTTTAGGTTATATAAAATAGAGGTGTTTCTGTTTATTTTTGTCTATAAACAAAAAGAAAATCATTATGTTGGACAAGGCCCAACACAGGATTAGAAAAGTGAATGGTGGGCAATAGTGGATCTCCAACCAGTGGTCAGCCACTGACCCAGTGACCAAGGAGAAAGGCTTGGATGGAGGACACACAGGACTATGTCCAACACAGGATTGGAAAGGGGAAAGGCAGGGAATAGTGGATCCTGACCAGTGGTCAGCCACTGATCTGCTGACCTAATGGAGGACACACATTTCCTGGAGCTGTGGGGCGGGCAGAGGCAGGGCAGGGCAACAGACACATTCCCACTGAAGAAGGCAGAGATCAAATGGAGCTGTTTTATGTACGTAACTATCATCATCCCAAAGAAAGAAATGAGCAGATATTAAAACACATCTTCAAATCATTCTTAGATTTCATCACATTCTTTTTTTTTTTTTTTTTTTTTGAGACGGAGCCTCAAGCTGTCCCCCTGGGTAGAGTGCCATGGCATCATGCTCACAGCAACCTCCAACTCCTGGGCTCAAGCGAGTCTCCTGTCTCAGCCTCCCAAGTAGCTGGGACTACAGGCGCCCACCACAACGCCCGGCCATTTTTTGGTTGCAGCCGTCATTGTTGTTTGGCAGGCCCGGGCTGGGGATTCGAACCCGCCACCTTAGGTGTATGTGGCTGGCGCCTTAGCAGCTTGAGCCACAGGCGCCGAGCCTCATCACATTCTTCATCCCCCAAACCATCATTTATTTTGAAATGGTTGTGCATTTGGGAAATTTCCTCTCACATTCCTTTTTTGTGTCAGTCAGAGCAGAAATATTTCTCTGGATTGTCTTCTCCCCTGGAAAGGCAGGGACTCTTCCCGGATGGAGGAGTTACACGTCAGCAGATGGGTATGAAGCAGACGTGTGCAAGATTTATGGGGCAAAGCTCAGGGGCCAAACAATCCTGACACAACTCGATCCTCACACAGATGCAGCTGAGCACAGTACCTTTAAACTCAATGGCGAATCCCGACAAGCCCACTGAGGCATCACTCCGAAACGCCAGAAAGAGGCTGTTTCCGCTACTCTCTATTCTCTCCGGGGCTTGCGAGCCCTGGAAGCTCCCGATGAGTGGGCTGTTGGAATCCTCCCCTTCATAGATGTGCAGGAAGTCATAGCTGGGCTCCATGTTGAAACTGCGAGGACAGAATATTAATGCATCATATGCCTCATCTACACTTAGCTTACCTTCCTGATGATAAAACCACCTTGCCCATGCCCATTACCAGGTGAGTTGAGCTTTAGGAATGTTGCTAATCAGTCACTGTAACACAATGGAACATAGACAACTACCACTAACAGGGTTTTAATTGTTTGTTCACTTTAACATCCTAGAGTTAGAGATGCCTCTGTTTTTGTTTTGTTTTGTTTTAAAGGAAGGTGCTAATAGAAGTTAGCATTAATTGAGAAAAAACACAAGGAATCCAAAAACATAACCAGCAAATGTTCACTGGTTTTGTTTAATAGCTCAGTGATATTTGGTAAATTTATAGTAGCTTTAGTAAACTCAGAAAATGATAACTTTCAATCTACTTAGGATTCAGAAACACAGACACTTAAAATTATGCTAAGATCCCATCAACAGGAAAAAGTGAAGGGAGGTAATCTCATTCCAGCCTTAAAAAATGATGCAAAAATCTCTAGAAAGGGCAGCTTGTCCCACTGACAGACAAATGAATTGTAAGTAGACCAAGAGATCAATGGAGCAGTTTATAAAACTACTTGCCTTTAAAAATATCACATTCATTTAGTTCAAAATTTAAATTGCCAAGGTGAAAAACATTTTGCAATTTGACAACATGTAGGCATCATATACAATTTATTAATAATGCAATAGTGTGTAAGAACCTATTTTTATGAAATGCACATAATATTTGAACTTCTATCATCTAGTTTAGCATATTTTAGGACTGAAATCTACTAATTCAGACTTTACAGCAACCAAATTTGGGAGAGCTTTCACTCTGAAGCTGTATGAGGTCGTAACTGTGGTACTGATAATAAATGTCTGTTGGTAGGAATATCAGGGGGTGCTATGGAAATGCAGCCTGCATTTAGGGAAATAGGAGGTGTTGCCGAGGAATGACACCAAGTGTGTCTGTATCATAACTGTATTGCTTTTCTTGACTATTCTGTAATTAAGTCTTCTCAAAGGAACGCACTGTGCAAGATACACAGTATGTAAAAGTCAGTGATGTCGGTCTGGACGCAAGCAGAGAGCTCAAGGCGTAATAACCTTTCCCCCCACCCCCTTCTGCAGCTTCGGGAGTGTCTATTACGCCCAAAGCCAAGGGTTTGCCTAAATGTCAAGATGGAGATGCAGTGAAGTTAAAATGGAGTAGTTTTTAGCTATGGCGCTTATCATCCTACTGAAGACAGGTGTTCTGCAGGAGAAGGTACCTTTTGAATATCAAGGCGATGACAAAGTCTGGGTTGACTTTTATCTTCCAGTCACATTCTTTCCCAGGAGGATATGGCTGTGGGTAGTTGGGTGATAAAATAACCCCCGCTGGGCCCGTCAGATTCCCTCCACAAGCCGCTGTCACAGAACAAAGTCACAGAGAAAAAGTTAGAGAGAGAAGAATGCCAGCCGGGAAGGGGACATCACACAACACTTCAAAGGAAAGGGGACAACAGAAAAGAGCTCATTTACCAGCATTTCCCCCACCAGAGAGAAGATGTGCTGGGGTATCAATTATCTGGATACAATTTTAAGGCCCAGGAAGTCTGAACATCTTTCATGGAACTGATAACAAACTTTATATAACCTCCCATCCCGTGTTAAGGAAGGATTTTCAAACTTCTGACAAACAAAATTCTTTTCCTATAACTTTATATTTTACTCAATAAATTCAACAGGCCACTTACTCCCACATCCACCAACATGCACCCCCAACAACTCAGATGGAAAAAATATGCCATCAACATCACGACATGGTCACGTTAATGCTTTTGCCATTTCGTATAGTTTCAAAGTCACTGCTTGTTTATTCTTGAACATACACCCCACGGGGTACTGATCACTATCTCTTGCTCATTGTTTTATCCCCAATGTCTAAGCAGTTTCTCGATCAGAATAAATATTCAGGAAACGTTTATTGAATGAACAAATATGTCACTTCACATTCTTATAGTCTTCTGGTGTATGCAGGCCTTGAATTAATCTCCTCACATTTCAAAATGGCAAAACAGCAAAAGTTTAATACCTACAAATACGTCATCAATGAGATTAAGCTGGAACATCATCCTCCTAAAATAATATTGGATCACAATGCTTGTCTCTTATTAGAAAAAAAGTAGTTTACGTGATAGCCAATCTGGTTTGTTCTTATAATACATCGTCATCAATTCTGACTACGTGTATTTACATTTATATTAGGCAGTAACTGTGTGCCTCACCACTGGTCATGGGCAAGCCAGTTATTGTTCTTGAATCTGAAAGTGTTCAGCCTTGTTTCCTTTATTAGATAAGATTTGTCTTGGAAGGTGTTAAAACCTTGCAGAAGTCTTAAGTACACTCGTTTTAGAAGCAGGCAAAATCATGCTGGCTTTAAAGTTTCTTTGTGTTAAAGACTATGGTTTGTCACAAATTGGTTTTAAAGTATCACCTTGTTACATTACAGCATTCCCCTAAACTGTGTATCTTATTTCACATATGCATTTAAGGAAAATAAATCACAAATCAAGAAGAAAATGCCATAATTGGTGAACTTTTTCCTCACACATTAATAAAAGGTCTTTTTTTTTTAAATATAAATAAGATGAAGAAACTTGCTTTATAATATTCCATGATGGATGTGTCTTTAAATACTCATTTAACATTCCTGAAAAGTTAATTATTCATAATCAGAAATACAACTAATTCCACTTCTTTTAGTTCTAATCTCAAAGTCTAATCAGAGGCAAACTCTGAATAATGTCACAGGAAATATTTATAATAAATTCTTACAGATACACACTCAAGAATCATATGATATGTAACTTTCATAGGAAAAAGATTAAAATCCTTTCCTTAGTCTAAAATTTTATTTTAATAAACTATGTAGAAACAAATGTTTCATCAGCTGTCACGGGACAGCCCCTCTCCCCACGTGGCACATCAGCTCTCACGGGACAGCCCCTCTCCCCACGTGGGACAGCCAATGCTGACAGCCCCAAGCATTAGGAGCTTGTACCAGTTTTTTGGGGGGTGGGGTGCTAATGTAGAGAAAGAAGGTACTGAAGGTCTAGAAGATTCTATTCCTTGCTGTTTTGAAAGATGAAAAATGACAGATTCAGGCCACTGGTTACAGGGTGCTACCAGCAGGAAGATTTCAGGGATAGGATTCAAATATTGATTTAAAAGAAGCGAAGGGGAGATCTTGCCTTACATGCAGAACCCAAGGGCTAGTTAATGAGGCTATTTAAAAGCTTAGCGTGGAATTAAGTGGACCTGTCCTGCCGTGTTTGTTCTCTCTTTTGGTCTGATACTCTTCATGTTCGCTTCATTAGGTTTTAATTAGGGAGCTTGCAAAATATTTGGGATGAGATCAGAGTGCAACAGAAAATGCAGCTCTTGAGATGATAGGAACTTCTCAAAAGGCCTGGACATAGAGACAAACTCCACATACTCCTACCAAGCACAGCCCCTGCTGGAGGGCACAGTCCCTGCCCCATACACCTGCAGCCCCTTCATGCTCCAGGGTGTGGGGCAGCCTCTGTAGGAGGACACATCAGGACTTCTGCATCAGAACTCTAGGACATCCAGGCCCTTCAGTATGACAGATGGTCTTTAAACAGCTACTCTTTACATTGGAGCCACCACACCAAATGGGTTTCAGCAACTGAGGATACATTCTTGGTTTTCAAAGCTTCTTTAGAATTTGGACTTGGGAGATTTCAGACTGTGTAAGAAAATGGAAACTTTGGAGGGACACTGCTTGGAATTAATTAATCATTTAAGACTCAACCAAAAAGCTGTAGGAGGAGAAGCCATTTGAGAAATTAAAAAATGAAAAAAAAAAGTAGGGCAAAATAAAAGAAAGCTTGACAGCGATTGGCAGCTGCTGAAAATATGTCATCAGCTACAGCAGATGAGCAGAGAAGAAAGTGTATGAAGGAGGAAGAGAGGACGGCTGGTCGCAGGTGAGCATGTGCTGCCACTAATAAGGGGGAAAGACAGGAGCAGGTCGGTCAGGAAGTTCAAGTTCAAAGGACCTGTAAGCACATGAAAGAGAAAGAAGTCCAACCTCATTATTAATTTAAAGTGCCAGTTAAGGCCAGGAGCAGTCTCATGTAATCCTAGCACTCTGGGAGGCCAGGGAGGTCAGGGCAGGAGGATCCCTGGAGGACAGGAGTTAGAGACCAGCCTGAGCCATGGGAGACCCTGTTTCTAGGAAAATTAGCAGCTAAGGGGACTCAGGAGACTGAGGCGGAAGGATCACTTCAGCCCAGGAGTTTGAGGTTGCTTTGAGCTAGGCTGACACCACGGCACTCTAGCCTGGGCAACAGAGTGCGACCCTCTCTCAAGACATACATACATACGTAAACAAATGAAAAGGAAGATAAAATAAAACAAAATAATAAAGTGCTACATCACCTTCTGCCCATATTAGATTATGAGATTGAGAATTATCGTATGTCCTACTTCTGTTCTAAATCAGGGAAAATGAACTTCTGTGACTCTGACAATTTAAATTGGTACAACCATTCTGAAAGGAGTTTGAAAAGTCCTAGTTATGCTGTTTGTCATAATCACGGGATGTTTTGCACATGGGTGTTCACTGTAGCTGTCTTCCTAATAGGGAAAAGGTTGAGACAATTTACTTGTACCATAATGAGACTAGGGAAATAATATTGGTGGATTCAAATAAAGAGTCACTACATATGGCTTTGGTGGTCCAGTAGTGAGCCAAGTTGGCTTCCAAAGAGATACCCTGCAGCCACCAAAATCCAGCAGAAAATACAAAATAACACAAGAGATACAGCATACTGATAGAATGCATTTTACAAAATGATCTCACAGGGCAACGTCAGTGAAACACACTTTTAAAATAGATTATATATACATAAGATAATTACTCAGCCTATATATGAATGCTTCTATTAATTATAATTGCTCCAGGTAAAAAGATGACAGGCTTGTTTTCTTCTCTTTTCTCTGTGCTGTGGCTTACAGAAAGCCTGCAATAAGCATGCGTTATCTTTTTATACAAGAAAAAGGTAAAGAAGTTAACGAGTGCCTGGAATCTTCATATCAGAGTTGAGGTAAGCAGTGACACACAGCCAGCTGATGCCCTTGTGGGCAAGCTTCTTACAGAGAACATGAACACCACTTCTTGAAAAAAAAATGTAATAAAAAGAAAATGTTAATTTATTTCCAAATATACAAATATATTTCTCTGTTAAATGTGAGTAGGTGGGTCTAGTCACCAAAATAATTGATTACTCAATTGCCTGGTAGTGCTTTCAACATGTCCTTAAAGCTGACATTCAAGGCACAAGAAGCATTATTTATTTGTTTTGGTCAAGATGGATTATCTACCTGTTGGTCAAGATAACTAAGAGACAGACCAACAAAAGATAGATTCGTTGGAAAGACAGTCAAACGGTAGAAGTATGTATTTAATTTAATTGAAGTGATAAATTACTTTTAAGAAGATTAACTGTGGTTGTATGTCTTTTTAATATATTTTTCTATGACCTTCAAGTCATGCAAAATGGAAGGAAAAAAAGGCTTTTCATAACTTAAAAATAGGCCAGTGGTTTAAAATGATTGTCATATTTATAGGTTATCTCTTCACTTAAAAAAAAAAAAAAAGCAGAAATCTTGCACGTCTCCTGATGACTCAGCTTGAAATAAAGGCATAACTGAGCTTACAAAAGGCTGAAATACAGATGCAGCCCAGAACATTAGATGAACGCAGCCAACTCCCTGAAGGGGCCGAGAACGCCACGCAGAGCTATGAAATCTCATCTACTTTCAGAATATCATGGTAAGTACTTTGTAATAAGTCAGGAATCATGTATCATTGCTCTCCAAGACCAGGGAGAATTTCTCCACTGCTGTGTGTACCACAGTAAAAATCATTTTAAACAAAATCCCCCCAAGGTCACCCAGTGCAAAATGACTCATCCACCTCATTATCATTTTGTCTCCTCACAGATTAATTACATTTTAGATTTTCAAAGAGATTATAAAGAAGTACCAATTAAACTGTGATACTGCATTAAAATAATAAAGTTTAGTAGAGTTTTTTTAAATTAAGATGATACACTCTAAATAGGTGCTTTATAGCAAATTATTTAATTGAATGAAGTGGCAATCCACATATAATTAGTATTTTATATAAAAATATACATTACCCTGAAACCATATTTTTGATAAATTATCTTAGATTACTACTCAAACCAAAGTCAACCAAACCATCTGTTACCCTTTTTATCAGGTCAAACTACAAAATTTTAATGAATTTAAGAAACAAGTTTCTCCTTTCGTATTTATTTTAACATAAGCAGTATTATTTCTATTTTTTAGGATTCTATTTTAAATGTACTATTATTATTACAAAAAACATGTAAAAAGAGAAAGTCTTTTTTTAGTAAGTTTTGCTTATGGGCATGTTTCTATATTATAAAACAAGAATAGCAGTGGTGAGGTTATAATAACCATCATTTTGATTGATCCTTATTTATATAAGACTTGTTAGGGTAGGAAATGTATGGTAAATGTCAATTACGGGACATTAAGCAAATGACTTCCTTTATTTCACCTAATAAAGTTTAAAGCTTTACAATAAAATTTCAGTAGCGTCTCAGAAAACTAGAGGGCATTTAAGAAATCCTAGAGAAACATTTCTGAACAAATAGCACATTGATAGAGCCATGTGATGACCACATGCATTCGTTTCCAAATACAAACAATTCCGTTTCCTGTGGCTTGATACCTATGCACGTGGGGGGGTCCGGCTGCCAGAAGAACCGGCTGTTCAGCTGCACACAGGTGATTTTGGCTTGACCTTGAAGCTGATACCCAGGGTCACACTGGAACGTGATGGTGTCTCCAGCCTCTCGGCTGTCCCCGTAGCGGGTACCATTGGGGGGCATTCCTGGATCATTGCAGGTGGATGCAATTGATGCTGCAAGGAACAGACAAGACCAGGTCAACAGCTGAAAACAGGTTTCACCATTCGGGTCACTGTAGGTGCTCCTCGGGACTGGAGCACTCTGCCTGGGCATGACAAGTCATGTGTCTACATATGAACATACAAAAATAGCACGTACTTTCCCCAGGGGTACATTCAATAACATGCATCTTTATTAAACCCACAATGAATAAATTCTAGGAGAATCTTCCGGACAATACCAGTAAGTTATGGTCTATATCAAGTCCTTGTATCATTTGTACTGGGTCCACACACACATTCAGAGGTTGCCTTCTGCTTGTTCTTTAATGATTGAACCAAGTTAAATGATTGCATTAAGTTACACCAACCACAAGAACTTCTCTTCACCTTCAAGGGAACTTGAATTCCTGTCTTTACCTCCAAGGAGGAACAAATAACCTTTGTTGGCATTTGTTATTTTTCAACCGGTGTGCCAAGAGAGGCTCTTAGGTGTGCCTGGAAAAATTTTAAAGATCATTAATTCAATTATTTTTGAAAGAAGTTCAAAGCACAGTAAATATATACTTATTTTTATCCTTTTTTTTATCAGCATAATTTAAGTGTGACCCACAAGTTTAACTGTAAGTTAAAGTGTGCTGTGAGATAGAAAAGGTTGAAAAACCCTGGCTGGCACTGGAATAGGACCAGGCCACAGGAAACATCTGGTTTCTTTTAAGGAGGATTCCGTAGGTCTCAGAGGTGCTATTGCCTTGGCAAAATTGTTAACCTTCTTTCACTCTCAAAAATGGTTCAAACTGGACAGTGAGCTATGTGACCACTGTCATTTCAACAAAAAGCTCAGAAAAAAGCCCTGCCTTTCTGCCTATATGCAAAGAATTTCAAATCAGTTGAGTAGAGGCTGGCGTCTGCACACCAGGCTGTTGAGAGGGCTTTGGGAAGATATGGAGCTTTGATAAGTTAGGATCTGGAAATCACATGCACAAATTTCACAACTGACACACAGAACACCGCTTGGCATAGGCGGCTGCTACCTCTGCCTGTTCCCAATTGAAGACTTGCACAGAACTTTCACCAGAGTTCAAAACCCACCATCGCGCTGAAATGTAATGGCCTCTTTTTTGAGAAAGAATGGTGATTTTCTTCAATTTCTGTAACTGCTCTGTATTATGTGATTATGTGTTATACTAAAAATTAGGAAGATACACCTGAACATCTAAAGCTTAAGGATCTTTTGTCCTTCCCCCATTTTTACTTTCCACTGGAATCATGAGCTCACTCCCTGTGCACTGCTGATGAGGCCGTGAGTCCCAGTCGCCTTTGCTTCTATGAAGGATCCAGCATATGCAGCCTTGCGTTTCAGAAACAAGAGACAAAAATCAGAGTGGGGTTGTTACCCCATATGCACACTGTCACCCTGTACCTCTTAGTATTTAGAGATTTAAGGTGAAAAACAGGCTTTGCTTTCTTTCTTGTTGTTGTTTTGTTTTGTAAATTCTAGAACATTGTTTTATCTATATAAATGCTCTTTCAAATGATCTGTGCTTCCTACATTCTATGATTGTCATTTACAAACCACACATATTTATACACACACACACACACATTGTTTTATGGCTAGTTAAACAAATCCATTCAAATAGAAAGTTAGGAAATACAAAACAAGGACAAGACCTACTCTGTGCTATAGTATTTTTAACCTAATAGGCAATGAATGAACAATTCAGCACAGAATAGAAAGTTGCACTGTGCAGGTTGAAGGATCAAAACCCTACCAAAAAGCAGCGTGTGGCACAAACATCAAGGGCCCACAGTTCTGCAGACCTGTCTGAAACCCCATTAGTACTTAATTATCTCTAATGCTCACTAAAGCTTACTGATCTTCAGCTAACTATTCAGTAAAAATGAGACTAATGTCTAAGTTATTAAGTCTGTTGTGAAGATGAAGTGTGAAAACTTGCTGATTTGTCTTTCTCTTGCTGTTCTCTGAGCTAATTGAAGGCAAAAGCTGTCTTAGTCCCACATCAGTTTTCTCTAATTGGTTTTTATGATGTATGGACATATACACAAATGGAATCTACAACAACAACTATACAAAAACAACAACTATAGTTGTTACAGTAACAACTATAGAATGAACATCTGTGTTACCAACTCTAAGTAAAAAAATAGAATATTTACCAACATACAAATATTGCCAATAATATCAGTACATGTCCTCTGCCATCTTACCCCTTCCCTCCACTCCAGACGAAAACACCCCCCTGAATTCCATTGTTTCTTGTTTTTTGTTTTTTTGTTTTTTATCCCCCCACAGTTTTTGGCCAGGGCTGGGTTTGAACCCGCCACCTCCAGCATATGGGACCGTGGCCCTACCCTTTTGAGCCACAGGCGCCGCCCCCTTGGTTTTTTTTTGTTTGTTTGTTTTGTTTTGTTTTGTTTTTTACTTTCTCAACAGTACCGTAAATCCATGCATTCCAGGAGTGGGACGCATTTGTTCTGTTAAATGATTTGTGCTTCCTACATTTTAGGATTGCCATTTCCAAACAGCATGCAGTTAGACCACTTTCCAAATTCAACCTAAGAATCTGTCTTTGAATTTGGTGGTGTTCTTGCCTTATATTCATTGAACTCACTGCTCTATTTTGATTAATCTCAAGCATTTTAGCGGGAGCACTTTTTGCTTCTGTTTTCTACCATTTTTACTTGCTTTCATACGGGTCATTTTTTAATTTCATATTCTTGTATTTTGATTTCCCTGAACTTTTACCATATACTTAGCTATTATTCTTACCTTCATCTTGAAAAGTTTAGAAGACTTTGCTTTTTCTTTCTTGTCAGGTTTCTCCTATTTGGGCAAACCACAGAGGTCGGCTCATCCAGAGAGCAAAGGATGGGCCTCGCCCGCCCCTGGGAAGGCCACCTTGGTAATCCCAGAACCCCTGCCAGGTATATACAACAACTTAAGTTTTCATCTGTCCCTGCCTCCCCATTTACTTGCTATTCCTGCTTAGTATTTGGTTATTTTTAAAAATTTTAAATCACACATGGTCACTATTAGTTTGTTTTTGTAAGACTTATACATGATTATTGTTTTACACAGTTGATTGATGGTTTTTACATTTTTGTATATATTTATAAATTTGTTTGCTCACTAATCTCTTTTATTTCCTTGTCTTTTGGGCTTGTTTTTCATCTCAGATTTTTCATTTGGTCTAATTTTTCTACTTCAAGTATACTATGGTTTGAATATTTTTCCCCTCAAAACTCATGTTGAAACTTAATCTCCAGCATGGCATTATTAAGGGCCTGTAAGAGATAATTGGATTAACCCATTTATGGCTTGATGGGTTAATAGACTAATGGATTAATGGGTTAACAGGCTAGTGGGACTGGGGACCTCCCTGAGCCAGCAGGCTTGTCCCCCACCCCAGGCCACATGAGGCCCTTGGCCTTCTAAGGTCTTCTCAGAGAGTCCACTTGAAAGAAGGCTGCTTGGACTTCTCAGCCTCTGTATCTGTAGAAAATAAATTTCTTTCTTTTTAAAGAATTACCCAGTTTCAAGTATTCTTTTATCAACAACAGAAAACAGACTAAGACACAAAGTTTTTTTATTTGCAAATTAGCTTTAGCAAGGATATGCAATGGTGTAAATTATTTTCGAATACACATGGCCATTCATATAGTATACTGTGTCCCATTACATTTTTATTATCTATTTTTATAATCTTACAGTCTTCATCTGGTATTAATTCCAACACCTCATGTGAGCTTAGGTGTTTGTAATTTTTTATATTTATATATTTGTTACTTGGAGCTTTACCTGTGGTGATTCTTTGTGTTCTTCTTGGACTGCACATCCCTTCAGGGGTGTTTCACATCTGATTTTATGTTGTGCTGGAATGATGGAAGCCTTCTGCTTCCTTAAGATAAACTCTCAGGCACTATGTATGACACAGATGGTGTAAATTCACCCACAATCTGATTTGAAACCTACTTGTAGTTACGAGTACACATCTACATCTGTGTCTGTTTCTACTCTCTATCTATCTGTCTACCTGACACTGGGAAGACTCTCCTTGGAGCTCCAGCTGTATATAAGGATCCCCTTATCTGTCCAATGTCAGAAAGATCTTAGAAATTCAAGGTAGGGGGTTGGGAAACAAAGGCGCGGGGAGAGGAGAGGCAGAAGGGGCATGTAGGTCACAGTGTATGGCACACCTCTTGGGGACAGGACCCAATAAAAGTGGGACTTTACCTAACAAATGCAAACAGTATAACCTAATTCTTTTTACCCTCAATAAACCTGAAACAATAAAAAAAAAATAAAATAAAGATCTTATACTTTGGTTCTTGCACCCTGAGCCTTTTTCTTTCTTAAAAAAAAAAAAAAAGAAAGATCTATACTACAATTTATTAATCCATTCATGGGTCGATGGACACTTGGGCTTCTTCCATGACTTAGCAATTATGAATTGGGCTGCAATAAACATTCTGGTACAAATATCTTTGTTACAAAGTGATTTTTGGTCTTCTGGATATATACCTAGTAGAGGAATTGTAGAATTGAATGGCAGGTCTATTTTTAGATCTCTAAGTGTTCTCCAAACATATTTCCAAAAGGAACGTATTAGTTTGCATTCCCACCAGCAATGTAGAAGTGTTCTCTTTTCTCCACATCCACACCAACATCTCTGATTTTGGGATTTGGGGATTTGGGCTATGCTTACTGGAGTTAGGTGATATCTCAAAGTAGTTTTGATTTGCATTTCTCTGATGATTAAGGATGATAAGCATTTTATCATGAGTCTGTAGGCCATGTGCCTGTCTTCTTCAGAGAAGTTTCTCTTCAAGTCCCTTGCCCACCCTGAGATGGGATCACTTGTTCTTTTCTTGCTAACATGTCTGAGTTCTCGGTGGATTCTGGTTATTAAACCTTTGTCAGAAACATAACCTGTAAATATCTTCTCCCATTCTGAGAGCTGTCTGCTTGCTTTACTTACTGTGCTCTTGGC